CGCGGAGCAGGGAGCCCGATGCGGGGCTCGATCCCAGGACCCTGGGACCATGACCTGAGCCCAAGGCAGATGCTTAATGACTGAGCCACCCAGGTGCCCCTGAAAACAATTCTTGAGTCTAAAAGTTTTCAACATTTCTTCATGCATAGAGGTGAAAGTCCTAATGAACTTCAAAATCCACATGACCTTCAGAGTTTTTCCTATTAGACTGCTATGTACTTTTCCAGGTACACTTACCTGAACATACGCAGGGCCCCGCTATTGGCAGTCCCCAAAGCTACTATGCCTTCTCTCCTCTGTGCCTTCCCTTCCATCCTCTGTTCCCCTGCATGGAGTGCCCTACACCGACCTGGTTGTACTATGGGAATCCTCACGTGACTCCTCCAGGGTATAAAGGACCCATGCTGTTTATCTTGGTAATTGTACCTGATACATAATCGATACTGATTATTTATTAAGAGAAAAGTAAATGATCAGAGTATAACTCCCCAAAATGGTTTCCAGGGATGCTGCGAAAGCTAACTGAGATGAATAATAAACATAATAGAGTTCTAGGTAACAAGCCCTATTATGAAGGCATAGTTATTATCTCATTACATTGCATGGCATTTCAGAGGGGCAATTATCATCTACTCCATTTTGCAAAAAAGGAAACTGAGGCAGAAAGAGGGTAGAGAACCTATTCTCATAATTAATGTGCGTTAAAAAAACAACTAAGGCAATCAGATCCCAGAGTCTGTGTGCTTGCTTTAGATGGCTTTAGAGGCATATAAAAACATTTTTCACAGTCTTTTATAAAAGCAAATTTTAAAGATTTGTGTGGTAATTAGATATGTAATCAATAGTTACAATTATCAATTCATTTAAAAAAACTTTATGGAAAACATTTAGACCATCATAGAAAGGGTGAAGTGATGTTTTAATTAAAACTACAGGCAGTTAACCACAAACCTTTTCGCGTGTCTATTGCAGTGGATATCTATGCTTTTTTGCCCACTTTCTCTTTATAAGAGCACCCTAATTTATTTTGGGATACCGCTCCCCCACTTACGTCATTTGCTTCCGGTTAGATCAACTCCCCTCCCAACCCTTGTTTTCCAGGAGCACACGGGTGACTCATCCCTGGACAGTCGTCACATTCCAACTCATTGGCCGCCATGACTGGTTCGGGGATAGGCCTATGACTCAAGTAAGCCCAAGAATGAGAATCAGTTTGGTAGTTTTTAATATATTGGTTGATTGTCTAAAATCATTAAGAGTGGAAAAGTAAGAAGGAAAGTCAAAGAGGGAAGAGGTGAACCAGGAGAAAGTGGAGTCATTGAAATCGTTGCAAGAGTTTCAAGAATTGATGCCTCAGTATCATGAAATTACCAGTTGAATAATGTTTATGTTTTTGAAAGTATCAACCAAATACTTGGACAAAATATTTTATTCACTTCAAGTAACTAGAACTTCAGTCATGATTGATTGTTCCCAGCAAGATCTGTATCTGTGTAAATAGGCATATTATTGATTAAAAAAAAAAGAAGAAGAAGAAGTTAGATATCTCATTATTTTCTTTGTCAAATCAAAGTTTTCCTTTTAGGGACTTTTCCTTCACTCAAGAAAATACTGAATGAGTCAGCGTGTTAATCTGTTTTGCTCTATCTTCTTATAGAGATGTTTTTCAATGTGGTAATAATTGCCTAGCTGATTGGTAGTGATTTATTTATACCCATCTATTCATTTAACAGCTCTTTATCAGGCTTCAGATATGCAGCAGGCATTGTGCAGAGAGAGTGAGATTCAAAGCTGTTCCCTAACCTAGAATGAAAGCTCCATAGGAGCCCCTGACTCCTATGTGTTGGATCCCATTATCAGAAATCCATACCCATGGATGTAGGCTGTATTTCTGTATTAATTTAACAATGGCAGCTGCTGAGGATCCATGGTTGGCCTTCAAGTATCACCCGTGACACAAACATGAACTTCAGGCTCAGGGCCCTGCACTTCTTTTCCTTATGGCAGTTATTCCTCATAATGCTCAGGTTTAATGATACCTATTTTTAGTAGCTCACAATGAAATGATAACTTATACTTAGTATCAATATAGTTTTGTATAATGGTGCTGAAACGATACCCTGATACCACAGTAGATAATGATTTTGGTCCCTATTGGTTTACTAGCTTTAGCGGGTCAGATGGTGGCTTCCCCCTAAAAATATGTCCACACTCTAAATCCCAGAGCCTGTGAATGTGAGCTTATTTGGAAAAAGGGTCTTTGCAGATGTAACTAAGTAAGGATCTCGAGCTGAGATCATCCTAGATTATTTGGATTGTCCCTAAGTCTGATGACAAGTGTCCTTGTAGGAGACAGAAGAGAGGAAGACCACATGGAGAAGGCCACAGGAAGATGCAGGCAGAGACTGGAGTGATGCAGCCCACAAGCCAATGAATTCCTGGAGCCACCAGAAGCTGGACCAGGCAAGGGAGGGTTCCCTGATAGATCTTCGGGAAGGAGTGCCGGCCTGATGACACTTGATTTTGGACTTCTAGCCTTCAGAACAGGGACAGAATAAATTTCTTTTGTTTTAAGCATTAAGTCTGGTCATTTGTTAAGGTAGTCCTAGGAAACAAACAAGTTAGTTCATACAGATTGTCTAATTAAGGATTCTGTCGTGCTGTTTTATAATAATTTGGGAAAGTCAGTATCTTTACTCCAATTCTTGTCTCTATCCAAAGGAGACATTTATCTGTTTTTTTGAGGTTTGATGAAACCCAAAGGTTAGTGCTTCTAGCCACAGATGCCCCAGAAAGTCCATTCAATGCACAAATATGAAATTTCTGAATGAGTGGCCTCAACAAGTAGTCTGGAGATCTAAATGCTCTTTGTAAAAGTACCATTGGTTCCGAGAGGATATTCCTATGGGTGAAAAGTTCCATTTGCAAAGCTCCACAAGTGGACAAAGTGGCTGGGCCAGGGAGCCAAGACACATTGCTTCCAGCCCTACCCATCTCTGGGTTACTTTCTCTCTTTGCCTCTGATGCATCTTCCTATGAGGGCGTTAGGCAAGTTCATTTCTAGAGACCTTTGAAAATTAACCATCCCCCCAATCTAGAGTATGTCCACTCCCCTTTATTCTTTCTTTTTCCTGTTGGATTCCTCCATATCACCCATCATAATTGGTTATTCTATGAACACATGCTTGTCCTAACTCCAAGTTCAAGGAACATAAGAATTGTACCTAGCATGCTGCCTGATACACACTAGGTCCTCAATAATAGTTTATTAATACACAGATCAGTGAGTGAACATTTTGAGTGGAGAGTAAGAAAATGTCTATTAGGGGTTGGAATCTGTTCAAGGACAGATTTTTGTTTTTTGTTTGTTTGTTTGCTTTGTCAAACGCCACTGAATTTCAGGACCGAAGGAGAAGTAAGTGGTCATTTAGTCCGACCCCGCACAGATGCCCTCTTCAGGCTTCCTGACAAACCCGACCAACATGCTTGGCGGAAACATCCTTGGTGACAGGAAACTCACTACCTCACTACCTCTAGTCTTTGCCAATTTGCTCTCCTTTTCCACTCCTCTCAATTATTGTGATCTTTAAAGTAGCATTTTGAGCGCGTGATGGAGCAGAGGCCCGGAAGTCTGGGAGTGGGAGGAACAGTGGGAACCCCAGTGCCCAGCTCAGAGTCTGAGAACCACTGGCGGGGTGGGCGCGCTGTAGCTGACAGCTGCATGAAGCAGCGGCGCCGCCTTCCTGCTGGGATCGCTTGGGCTCTCGGCCTCCCCGCAAGCCAGGGGTCCGTCCTCCTTCGCCAGTTCTTCGCTTCTCCCGCCAGGGCCGCAGCCACGCGCAGCGGCATTCCCCGCTGCCGCCCCGGTCACCTGCGCGGCGGTCCTGGGCGCTGGGGTCCTCTGCCGCCGCCCGGGAGCGGTCGCCGAGGGCGCGGGGAGCTCGCGGGCGGCCACGGGCTCTTCCCTCCCTTCTCCCCACCCCACGCGCTCCCCCCCTCCCCGGCCCCTCCTCCCCACACTCCGCTGCCCTGGGCTCTCCGGGGAGTTGCTCGGCACCTTGGGCGAGGAGTTCGGAGCCGCCCCATCGCAGAGCCCACGGCCCGCCGAGCGCGAGCGACGCAGGTGTCCGAGTCCCGGCGCCGCGGCGGCCATCTCTGCCTTCCGCGTGGGTTGGACCCGGGCAACGAGGTGGGAGCCGCTTCTCTCTCCTCCACCCCCTACTGCCACCTTTCCCGCTCTCGGCAGCTGGAGGAGCGGGGCGCTGGGGCGCGCGCGGTCGGCGCGGAGCCCGCGGGCCACGGGGGGAGACGGGGAGTCCGGGGACGACTCGGCGGCGCCACCGGAGGGGCCAGCGCTCGGGGGTGGCGGGAGGGGCGGCGGGGACTCTTGTTCCCTGGGCCGGGGATCGGGAGGCTCCCGGGGCGAGGAGGGTCGGGGCGCACGTCTGACGGCAGCCGGGCGCCCCCGGGCGCGCACCTGCCGAGTGCCCCCGAAACGACGTGCCCCCCAGCCAACTTCTTTTTCAGGTCTCCTTCCTACTTTGGAAACTGAAGGGACTGCGACGTAAACCAGTAAGCCCTGCGCCTCGGGGAAGCATTTGTTTGTCTGGCTGACGAGAGAACAAACTTGTGCTGCAGGGGGGGTTTAAATCCCAGCTTCTCCTTTTTAACCCTCTCCCGTTCTCCCCAAAGAAATGTGAAAAACAAAATAACGAACCCAAACCCAACCAAAGCACTTATCTAAAGGGGTTCGTAGAGGTGAGAAAAATAGACCTAACTGAGCAATCAGTGGAAACCCCAGGTATGGTGAAGCCGCCTAAGAGACTAGTTGTTGCCAGTGCTATTTCTAGGACTTGTGTTTGCGAACAGATGAGGGGGCTCGGTTAAGTCTGTAAGAGTTCCTTCTATTGAGGGCCTGCCTGGAGTGTCCTCTGTTAACATGTATTTCCATAAGTATTAAAGTATATTGAAAGAAACGATCTCTCAGAGCTCTGGATTTGGAGTCAGAATATCTGGATTTTGGCATGATTGGCCATTTATTATCCGAGACAATTGTGGTTAGCTTAACCTCTCTGGGCCTCATTTTCCTCATTTGTCGAATTAGAGGGTTGGATTCTGGGGGCCTTTTAATAATATTTAAGATGTTTCCCAACTTAAAAATGTATAATTCTGTAACTCTTTAACATGTTGCGAACATTGCATGATTTCATGAAACTTTAAAAATCTATTTTGATCTTGGCATTTTGTTTGTATGCCTTTATGACTTGTGTCTTTAGGGTTTTCCAACCAGAAATTAGAGAGAAAAACGCTTATAAGAGAGTTCAGAAATGTATAGTTTATATGTGAATATTTAAATCATCTCTTACTCTGCCTTAAGGAATTATGTTCAACTTTCAGCCAATATTTGGCAACACTGCAGCAAAAACACATGGCTTTAGCACAGCACTTACTCTCTTTCAGTGTTGTATATTTGGAGGAAATAAAAATGGTTTTGGAGGAAAACAGAAATTGTACCTTTCCTATCAATTACTGATCTTGACCAACCTGTGTTACTTTTTAGCATAGTTGAGGCAGAATATTAAAAAAATGGCTTCAGACCATTTTAAAGCCTCTCTGAAATTAAGCTCAAAAGCAGAGATGCGAATTTTAGTAATGCATTTTAGTTGTCTTGGAACGAAGCCCAGAAAATAGCAGAGGTTAACTTAACAGATAAACCAGAAATTAGGAATTGGCCCACACAAAAAGTTGTACAAGAAGTGTGCGCCCCAAAGGGTCAGTGAACCTTTTACTTAGTTTTGATTAAAAACAAACAATAAACAACTGTTGGCTTGTTGGCAGACAGAGGATGTTAGAATGGCTTTTGTTGTTACTTAAAATTTAAAATTATTTGAGACATAGTCATCAGTAGTGAGGATAGGTTTTAGAAGTGTTTCTGGCTCTTCTTGGTGGCTTTGATATAAAATAAAATAATGTGTTCCCACTCAGCATGTGCTGTGCGTGTAGTTTGGGAGAGTAGAGTGGATTTCAAGTACAGTACTCTTTTGTGAACACTTTCCCTCATTTCCATGGCCTTTTCCGCTTTGGGCTGGAAGTGTCCTTACTCATTCAGGCATTTGTCTTGCCTCATATTCTCTGGTGAAGTAGGTAATCATCTCCTCTGAAACATGCTCAAGGAGTTAAGTAAATTGGTTGGTGAAAGCACAGAGAGTAGGAGAACTCAAATACCCTGACTTCTAGGTGCTTATTGGAAAACAGTAGATGAATCTGACTGCTCGAGGTCTATCCCTGATTCATTCATGGTTTGGGAGCATCACCATGGTTGGCTGAAGCTCTGCTCCTCTTTTGTAATGAATTTACCAAGAAAAAACAGTCATGTCTTCACACCTAGATCACTTATTATATAATCAAATGGTTTTTGTTTGTGAAGTGCAATATCTGTGGGGGCCGTAGAAATAAAACTAAAAATATCCAGGAAAAAAAAATGTCTTGGCAGATACTGTACTGCATTTTTCATACTGAACGCCAAGCACACATACTAAAAAAACATATCCTGTGGAGTTAAAAATGAAGAAAAGGGCTTATAGTCTCCTCTAATTCTTAAGATTTTATGTGATTTACAAATTCCGCTTTTAATTAAAACAGAAAGTCACAAATGTTCACCTACTGGCCAGACCTAGTACATGTAACCTTTTGGAGTGTCAATTCAAATTTGGTCTGCTTATAATTTGGAATATTCCTTCTCACATACTTTTTATTAAAACTTTTTGTGGTGCAATAGTGGTATTATCTTTTGTCTTTTCACGCACACGATCTTATTAATCTTTAATTTTTTTAACCCTTTGAGCATATGTATGACATAAAAAGAGAGAAGAGGTACATAAAACAAATGCACTGGCTGACAAATAATAATAGCAAATGATTATAATAGACAAGTATAAGGTGAATACCCTATTTTTCACCACACCGATAAGAGAACATGCCAATATCTAGAAACCTCTTGTTTTTAAGATTTTATTTATTTATTTGAGAGAGAGCGAGAGCGTGAACGGGGTGAGGGAGAGGGGCAGATGGAGAAGCAGGCTCCCAGCTGAGCAGGGAGCCCGACGTGGGGCTCCATCCCAGGACCTTGGGATCAGGACCTGAGCCGAAGGCAGACACTTACCCAACTGAGCCACCCAGGCGCCCCCACATTATCTCCTAAATCCATTCCTGTTAATCTTTTGTTTTCAGAACTCTGCCAAAACTACCCCTGTCCTGGTCACCAATGTCATTACCTTTCCTAAATCTGATAGTTGTCAGTGTTGCTCTTCCTTTACCTGTTGGTAGCATCGTCACGGGTGTCACTGTCTGCTCAGTGTAATCTTTCCTTATAGACTTTCAGGACACCATGCACGCTTGGTTTCCCTCCTTCTTCACTGGCCACTCCTGTCTCCTTTGCCGATCAGGAGCTTCTCTGAGAGGTTTTACCCTTCAAATGCCTTAAGGTTTAGTCCTTGGGGCTCTCTTTTCTCTCTACACTCTGATGATTTCATGCAATCTTCTTATTTTTTCTTTTTGATCTTTACAGTTGTATACTGATGCCTTGAAAATGATATATATAGCTCAAGTCTTGACTTCCCTCCCTGACCTCAGGGACACCTCTATATCAGCTGCCTACTCAACATTTCCATTTGGATATCCAGTAGACATCGCCAGTTTTACCTACTCCAAACAGAATCTTCGTCTTGCCCAAGTCTACTCTATCTGCAGTCTTCTTCACTTCCAGCCACCCTTTCACTTGCTCTGACCCCAAACCTTGGAGACATCTTAGTTTCTCCCATGCCCTCATACCTGAGATGTAATGTGTCAGGAAATCCTCTTTGCTCTCCCTGCAGAATCAATCCAGAATCTAATTACTTCTCATCACCTCCATGGCTGCCACCGTGGTCTGAGCTGCCATCATATCCCACATGAATTATTGCAAGGACCTCCTAACTGGTCTCCCTTTTTTTATCCTTTGCCCTCTATAATCTCTTCTCAAAACTGCAATCAGAGCTCTGCATTTACTGCCTATGTCAAATCATGTCACCTTTCTGCTTCAAAAGCTCCAATGGCTTTCTAGTTCATATGGCCTAAGGTTTTAGGGTCTCCTGCAAGACCCTACCGGATCTTTCTCCTCTCTCCTTTACCTGTCTGAGCTCATTGCCTAGTGGTCCTCTCACTGGTCTTGCTATTCCTTGGCTATATATCGAGACCACTTTTGTGTTTCAGTTACGTCTCCCTGGAATACACTTGAAATGTTCAAATACTTCCTTTTCAATAAAGCCTACTCTGATTATCACATTTAAATTACACATCCTCTGTCCTTGCAAAACACTTTTTCCCCTTTCCTTTGCTTTTCCCCCCAGTACTTATCACCTTTTAAAATACTCTATGACTCCCCATTTATTATGCTTTTCCCTCTATTTCTATTAGAATCTAAACTCTATGAGAATGGGTTTTTTTTTTCTATCTTGCTCACTAGTGTATCCCCAGTACCTGAAATAGGGCTTAGCACGTAAGAGAGGCTCAATAATTTTTTTGTTGATTGAAGGTTGTTGCTGACAGTGGTTGTTGTTTATTTTCATTGCTGGATGTATTTCACTATATTCATATATAATATCTTATTGTTTACTGATTCTGATGATGAATAATCAGGTCGTTTCCATTCCTCCCTACCTTCCTCCTTCCCTTCTTCTTTCCTTCCTGCCTACTTTTGTCCCCCTCCCTCCCTTTCTCTCTCTCTTCCTTCCTTCCACCCTTCCCTTCTCTTCCCTTCTTCCCTCCCTTTCCTTTCCTTCCTTTTTTTCTTTCTCTACCATAAATAAACCAACTATGATTCTTCTACAAGTGTCATGGTGCACAGATGCAGGAGTTTCTTAAGAGTGTAAAACTATCAGTCAAATTACTAGATCACAGGGCTTGCAGATAATAACCTTGTTAGATAATGCCACATTTTTTCACTATGGGTCTACCAGTTTACATTCCTGCCTTCATTGCTCTACGGTTTTGCCAAAACTTAATATTATCAAAACATTTAATTTTTGTCCATCTGGTGGGTATGTGTTGTTATCTCATTATTGTTTGTTTCTCTAATTACTAGTGAGATTAAGCTTGGTATCTGTAAGTTACGCTGTAGTAACAAATGACCTCCAAATCTCATTGACTTAA